CCTTTGAGCCGCACACTACTGACACAGTTGGGAAAACGGAAAGTTATCAAGCATATCCTACTCCTAGTTCTAAACGGTTCACTACATAATGTTCTGCCACATGTTCCCAAGGGACGCTCAGACTCCTCAAAACGTATCTCTTTTAAACAGCTAACAAGGTACGTAAGATTTTCATTCAAAATTTCTCGGTATATTCAACGTGATGATCGACGCTTATCAACCTTCATTAGATGCGCTTTCGGGAGTGATTACCGTAGAAAAATTTAGTCTCGGGTGACTCTCCCGGCGTAGATATCGATCACGCCTAACTACGATTACTTTTGTAAACTTTCGAGAAGAGTCTGTTCTATTTGTAAGTTCCACACTCCTGAGAAACCGTTGTAATGGCTGTTATCCATTGTACTTATTATACTACTTACTTTATCTGATTTGAAGATCATGGATTAGATGACAGGTTGTACGTAAATCAAAGAAATTTGCATAAGACAACATGGAAACCTCTCCGTCTTCAGTTTGTACCATTTCACTCTCCATTTCACTGACTTACAGTCATCCCCATTTAGAGAGAACCTTTGGGACAGGTGAAAATAGGTTTTTTTTTCCATTAAAACTTACTTTTGTAAACTTTCGAGAAGAGTCTGTTCTATTTGTAAGTTCCACACTCCTGAGAAACCGTTGTAATGGCTGTTATCCATTGTACTTATTATACTACTTACTTTATCTGATTTGAAGATCATGGATTAGATGACAGGTTGTACGTAAATCAAAGAAATTTGCATAAGACAACATGGAAACCTCTCCGTCTTCAGTTTGTACCATTTCACTCTCCATTTCACTGACTTACAGTCATCCCCATTTAGAGAGAACCTTTGGGACAGGTGAAAATAGGTTTTTTTCACGATCATTAAAACTGAAATTTCGCTTTGCTCCGTTTTTCTGCCGTTTGGCGCGAAAGTTTGTTTACGTATTCACCCCAATCATAAAACTACACGCTGTGTCTACGCGCTTACCACGTGACACTGATGGTCCCTTGATATAAATTCTTGACAAAAAGTGCCTCATTACACAAGTACGAGATCGATGCCCTTTCGCGACGGATGTTTTAAATACCCCACTTTTGTCAGCGATACAGCCACTGGTAAGAAAGCCTATGAACCTATGACACATTCGAAACCGGTCAGATAGTCCTGTAAAAACAATTGGAAAATTAAACAGCTCACCAACTCTCATTGAAACATTAGGATTCGTAGCCTGTTCACTTTTTGAGGCGTTGTTTGATTAGGATTTAACAACTTCTCATACTGATAATAATCGTGTCCCACCAGTGTTCCATCAGTTTTGAGCGCGCCTCTCTGAGCCATCTGTGTGAAGCAGAAAACGCCTATTTTCAGACAGCTGTTATCTAGATCTCCAAGCCTCATACACTTTTCAACAAAATTCTCACGTGCGTCGATGGTCACTACAGGTACCGATTTCGCGAACTGTTCATGAGCACACAGGGCAATGTTCCAAGTCGTGTGTGGAAGTCGTATGTAAACAAACCCAGTTCCTCCAATCTTTTCCAAGTTTCCTACGCACGGGTGCCATCAAAACCGAAATAGGCGCAACCTGAATATCTAGACTCCCCGCTATGTGCATTTAGATTGCTTCTCCACTCTAATACACACATTTAACTCCACTGACCCTCTATTCACACTCAAGCAGACTTTAGTGGAACTGGGATTTCCTTCGTAGATATTCTCGTACCACGATTCCAGCAGAACGTGAAGCGATGATGGCGGGGGTGAATGTCCGCGTGTGACTATGGTCCAACAAGTGGAGTATGCATGGGCCCCATTATTTTGACGAGCTTCGACGCGTACAGACAGGGCAGTGGGTAGCAGGGAAGTTTGCATACGCTGTTTTCCGACGTATATAGTAAACGTGGTACTGTTGATCACCGCATTTTCGGACCTTTTGGTGTATCTCATCGGTAATCACAACAGTGATAAGGTAGTACTACTTGCATCTTGGGACTAGGGCCAACTGAAACAAAAAAACAAAAGATCACCTAAGCGTCTTGTTACCGTCATGTTTTGTTACGAGAATGTTGGACACTGCTACTCCCACGTAAATGACATGGGGATCTACCAGCGGATCTACCATGAATGTTTGGGAAAGATACAAATTGCCCAGACACAACCCCGGAAAGCTCCTCCCTCAGCTAATTAGTATGCGGCTTCCGCGACAAATCAGCATTTATCTCTTTGTAATCCACTATTCATAAGCGATATGCTAAGTGCTTGATAAATAAGCGTGTTGATTTTAGTAATAAAATAGCAGAACTAGTAAGATCCCACGGGCTGATTACCTTTACCACTTCAAGTAGTTTGTTCACATTTCCCCGATGAATTTGACGTCGACTACTGAAATTATTCGTTTAATTTGGTTCGTCGAACTTCGAAGCTCCACCTCCACCCGTGCTATTCCGTTGTAGCTTGCAGAATGGTTGGAGCAGTGCCACAAATTGCATCTTACGCAGGTCGTGAATAGCCCTTTTGAGCAATAAGTTGATTTCCTTTATCTGGAGCTCTTAAAATCAGACTCCCCCGATTCTGCGGACTCCGGAAATGATATAAATTTCCATAAGAGTATTTCCTGAGCGGTTTGTTGTTGAATAACTTCGTTTTTCCTTGACGCGGGGGCGAGATGGATCAAGTGGTTAGGGCGGGAATTTACTGACCGGAAGGTCCGTGGTTCGAACCCGACCTCTGCCTCTCGGCTACCCCTGTCTAGGTTTTGGCAACCTGGCAGTATCCCAGCCCTCGTGCTTCCTTTGAGTGGCATGGCAGCTACGCACCGAAAGGGTGTTACAGCTGAACGATTGAGGACTGCTTCAAGTAGACCAACGGATGGTCTTCCGAATTCCTCTGTCAACTTCATCCATCGTCTCACTTGATGCCAGAACAAACAATAAATTTCTCACCATAAAATGATGACCATTTTGCCAGATTTTGTCAGTAGTGTGAGAACTGGTAAGGTGAAACAACCCTGTAATTTCTTGCGAAAATAGTTGTCCAAATTACGTTCTTTCACGTATTGCAACCAAAAGTGATATTAAATGTTTGCGTTCTCGCAGAAAACTACTGGTCCACTACATGACAGTTTTAGGTAGGGAACTGGTGGGTTCTTTTCTGACGATAAATTTACCGTCCATGTGACAAGATCTTATCGAGTAAGGCACGCTCGGGAACCAGTGTAGTAGATCCGCAACCAGGTGAATTCTCCTGAACAAAAGAAGTAGGCAAGAGCTGTTGACCTTATACGATTCGGTTATTCAGGAGGAGAACAGGGCTGAGCTGTCCTAAAGTGCATCCTAGGATTAACAAATGTTAGTACAGGGATTCTGCCTCCAAGGTGCTTCACACAGCGTCATAGTAGATGTGTCTGGAGCCGTGAAACTCTTCGGTGAGCAACACGACCCTGAGACGAGATTGACCAGTAGCCGAAATACGGAGCCTAACGTACTCAGAGCACATAGAACATTTTTGCGTTAAAGATTGCTACGTCTATGGTCGTTGGCTTGTTCGCTGAGCTGGGCAATTTGGTTGAAAACGTTTCGTCACCAATCGATGATGATCGCTCGCACGTAGAGGTGCGTAAATTGGATCCAGTTCGATGCACCGGTGGATTGAACCTGCCGTAGAGTACCATGCTTCCAGAAATTCTCTTCTCTCTTTCGCAACCAAAACACTCAAGGGGGACCAAATAATGGATTAACAAACGAAGAAACAATGAACTCCTCGGAGTCAAATCAATAAAGGTCACAACCGGAACTCGGAAGGACAAAGGTCACTCCAACACCGACCAGACTACGACGGCGAGGGATGCCATGTACAAGGGTCACGTGGGCATCGGCGAATGAGGACACGGGATAAAAGAACAACCAATGGAACCGCCCGACAGAATAACTAATCCCGGTCATCCCCGGCTACCAGCACGTATATCAACACACACGTAACACTACTGAACGCACAACCACTAACCCACCGCTACGCACAACTACGCACTGATGATGTCACCTCGATTGGTGATGAAACGTTTGCAACCAAATTGCCCAGCTCAGCGAACAAGCCAACGACCATCTACGCTACCTGAGCTACCGACATTCTCCTCTATTGCTACGTCTATATGAATTCCGCCCAGGGTGACTACTTGATCATATTATCCTGGAGGAAGTCTCTTTGCTAGACTGTTGCCAACCACATTTGCCCAGTTATTGACCTTGAACTTTTTATTTACGTCGAAAGTGCTCTTCCTGATCCGGTGATTTCAACCTAGGGAGAGGAATCACTTGATCCGCGTTGCACTATTGTTAGGATTCATCAGCAGTGCATGGTCTTTGCCTAGCTGGGACTTGAACACTGAACGTCTGACTTGTGCGGCGAGCGTGTTTCCACTGCATCAGCGCACGCTAGACACGCCAAAACCATCACCTCTAAACGGTTGACCGTGCATCCCTGAAGCTAACCCAGTGACCCGAATGACGACTTTGATTGAACCGTCTGGTGTTGTCAGCACGAGTTCCACGCGACCATCCCCGGACCAATCATGTGATCTGCCTCACCGAAAGCGAAATGTTTTCAACAATCACTTAGGACTACTTACATCGACCTAATAGATTACAGCCCCATGACAAAACTGGACAAAAGCTATCCGAACGCATTAAGATCTTTTCCATTTTTCATAGATCGAAATATCCGAACCACTGACAGACTCATAATCATCCCATTTCTAGTTTGTGATCTTCGAAATTAAAATAGTTTGCGATAACGATGACAATGATAAATGTACACAACTAGAATACATGGAGAAAACTTGTTTGAGTTGCTCAAAACTGTTAACAACGTACCCTTCCATGCCTACCTATACTAGGGAGTTTAACTCTAGAATGTTTATATCTGCTGTTTCAATGAATATATCAACAAACTTGTGTTCATCTACTCTTCCCGCTTCTACAGTTTTTGCCGCAATGGCCATCGTCTTCGCGGTTTTCCGGGCCACGGAAGTTGTGAAATCCCCCGAAGAATACGATCGTGTCATACCCTACACAATAAGCAAGATATTATACTTCACCGTTCAACCCATATTTTTTCTACTGCTTCATCGAGTAAGTTAAATGTTTATACGGGAAAGTTAGTTCACGAATTGCGGTTTCAGGCCGTTTCATTCGGTGGACTAAGTTACTTCATCTCCGTTGTATGTATTCCCTTGTGTTAAACTGAATAACTCAGCTACATGTTTCCATCCCTATGATGGCTTAGAAAGAGAATAACCATATTAGATGAGGGTAGTCCAGTCGTATTCGTTGGGGACTCGTTTTACGGACAACCAGTGATCTTTTAAGTGTAATGTGAACAAATGTGTGGCTTGGAAACGGAACAGATATCGCGCTCGCCTGTTATGTCCTTAATCTATCGTAGATGTTCCATCATGTCATGCGCTGTGCGCATGAAAATCTACTATCTGCTACTAAAGCCATTCAATTGCATAACAGCTAAAGACAACCGAAGCCAAAACCGACTTCTTCCCTTGAGTTTCACAGGGTTCCAGATGTGTCCAATGCTCGTTTGACGTCAGTTGGTGTGACCAGAAAGGAGTTATGTAGATTCTGAACGATGTGTCGACGACCGTTTCTTGTACGTCAGTTGCTGTTCAAACAAAATTTCCGTAGAAATTGCGTATTTCCTAACAATTAATGGTGTGTATTGGTGCGTACATTTAGGATTAAACGTCAAACAGGGGTTTCCAAGCAGCTTTATTCCCCAGTTGGTCTGCGAATTGAATAAGGCTTTGCGCAAACAGGGATCTGGTCTGCGATTTGAATAAGTCTTTGCGCAAGACAGGGATCTAGTTTGGATACTCCTGTAGTAGGGAAATGAAAATAGGAAAGACAACTCAAAATTACACATCAGCTAATTGGAACCGATGAATCCTTAAAAAAATGGGAAAAAATTACTGCTTAGTAAAATCCATAGATTCTGATGGCCCCCGATCTATGTCCATTTGAGTGAAACTGGTTGAGAGATCCCTAGTGAGGTTTTTGCTTTATAAGGCATCCATGTTGTAATGTTTATGCGCATTGGACGAGATTGATCGGCTACTAGGAGCATGAAGGGGAGAACAAGACGCAGAACTAACTAACAATGTGAAGCCATTTCAGATGCACGAAAGCCCAAGTATACATGAATGTCTAGCGTTCATGACATCACTCTGACTAAAGCACGAAGTTACTGTAAATTGCACCTACTTACAAACTGGCTTTCTACAAAGAGCTTAAAATAGACTTATTTTGAAAAAAAGGAACGCTTAAAGGTATACTTCTTTGTTCTGGTTAAGTTCAGTCGTAGTATTAACATTACAACACGCGGTTGCATTCTGATCCTACTTTTTCGTTTTAGTATAGATTACTGCTTTTCCCACTATTGTCAGATAGTCTCAAGTTTGAACTAGACTGTTTTATTTCGTACTGAGACTTCGGTTTGTCAGAGAGGTCAAGCTATACTGAAAAGTTGAGAAGCACTGTACAGCCGTTTCATCCTCATTGAGGATGAACAGAGTTGCGCATCACACGGTACTTCAGTAGCGAGTTTCGTACCTATCACCTTCCGGCCAGTGGCTTTTTATTTAGCCATTTGACCTTGAGCGGACGACCAGTGGCGTGGTCAGCTCTGTGTTCTGTTTTTTCCTAGTTCACGAAACGTGCTTGCGTTTGCGTTTGAAAATATTTCTCGCGGATCACCACTTTTCAGCATATAAATGCACCTAATGGTTTGCTCCATACATCGGGATAATACAATCTGCATCGAGTCACCTTTGCATTCCAGTCCCAACATTTCTTTCAAGTGTTCTGTTTGCTTAAATGCCCCACGAGTCACCTTTGCATTCCAGTCCCAACATCTCTTTCAAGTGTTTCGTTTGCTTAAATGCTCTAACGCCCCACAATCCCACGAGCGATCATTGCGCTAATTGAATTGTCCAGTTTTCTGGGTTTTGCACCGCGATTCCGTGCAGTAGTACAACTTTTCACTTGTCCCCGAAATGATTCATCGAGTGACATTGTGAGCGCAGTCCGCGGTCACTGTTTACCGTGATTTTGGTAGAATTGCTTTGTGGTCGCTACATACGGCCTATGGCAGCATAATGGTTGAAGAATGTCGCCTTTGACCTCCAAATCCTGGGTTTCAGGTGCTCATCTTCCGAAGCTATAGTGTCATTCAGCGTTCAGCTCGGATGATCGACAAAAAATGGTGAGCGAGATTGTGTCAAGTGATTCATCCTTCGATAGATTTCTCCAGATTGCATTCTTGATGTAAACTTTGTGAGTAGGGAGGACGCTTCCCACAGTCCACACCTGGCTTGATCAAAATGGCTTCCTACTAGATCTGACTCTCTTAATGTCCTGCTTGATTCTGACAAACTGATAGACAATGTTCCTAGTGTTTCAGGATCAAAATTCAATTTGAGGAGAACAGAAGTTTGGAGCTCTAAGCCATCGAATTTAATGGTGTGAATTGGTGCAAAAACGCGAGCCTGAAATGTGCACCGTAACTCTAGGACTTTGGTTTGAAATGCAATACGGGTAGTTGATACAAAGCGTCCGTGTAGTTGGGTTCTCAGAATCTCAGCATCTGTTGACACAACTTACACGAGAAACACCCGGTTCAAATGGATTGCCAAAAAGATAATGACGTTTTCCTTGATCCTGACTCGATTTGGCAGACTAGGGTATTCAAATATCGCAATCACATTCCTTACCATACGCAATTCTATTTTTATTTGGCAGTCAAACCTTATGAAAATGAATATTTGTAATGTTAGTAGTTCGCCTAGAATTAAGGCATATGTGCATGCATGTTTATCAAGTAAGTTTGTAGGACGTTTACAAATAAGCAAGTTTCCGTGCAAACGTTGCTGTTTGTGAAGGATTTTTTGAGAGTGGAATAGGAGAAAGCAGTCCTGAATAAATTGAGGTACTGATTGTCTGTAAAACGTTTGGAACCGCAGATCTCCGTAGTTGATAAACTTTTGACTAGTGGGCGCATTCCTAAGGGATATCTACAGAAAAGCCTGCACTGGGCTGACTAAAAAAGGTGTTATTTAAATCAAAATAATGGCTACTTAGGCGTGAAGTTTGAACAACACTTTGAAAACTTTTGTAAAATGCTCTTCAGGATACTCGGCTGCCAAAAGTTACCGCTGGGAACTTCAACCGGATCAACGCAGCGATCTGCAACGATCAATCAGGTGGCTCCAAGTGGGCCCACCAATTGCTTTGATAGTCTGCAATGTCTGTAGTTCTTTCAGATAGGCGTTGGGTCGTTCCGACGCTATTTGGCCTGCGAGACTCCATCGGAAACAATGGTTCACAGGACCAGGTTAGCTTGAACTGAAAACCCCTGTTTCACGGGCCTTAAAATCGTAATCCTAATGTTAGGGGATTTCGAAAATAGTCACAAACCTGGTCCCACAACGAAGATGAAACATACATTGAATATCTGATTATAAATATCCCCACTTCTAACTTATCACACGATCCACCGAGTTATGCTGAACAAAATAAAAATGATTATATATTGAACCGGATTCAGTTTGAATTCGAATACCTCACCAAAGTATTAGCTAAACCATAGCACTCCCACCCAACATCAGTTTGCTCAAGAATTCTTCTTCCCGATTCGGTAATACTGCAAAATAGATTTGATCAACATGGGTAAGCTAGTTTTTCGTCGCGATTGAAGACCGGATTTTAGCACCTACTGTCATTTCCGATTACTTTTCGTCAGTCTTTTACAGAACATATCCAAATGCACTTTCCTTATTCCTCAAAACTCTTACAAACCAATATTGGTAGCTATGGTAGCGTAGATGGTCGTTGGTTTGTTCGCTGAGCTGGGCAATTTGATTACAAATATCTCATCATCACTCGAGGTGACATCATCAGCGCGTTGTTAGGGCGCGTAGTGGTGCGTGGCGATGGGTTAGTGGTTGTTCGTTGGGCAATGTTGCGTGTGTTACCCACAACGAAGATGAAACATACATTGAATATCTGATTATAAATATCCCCACTTCTAACTTATCACACGATCCACCGAGTTATGCTGAACAAAATAAAAATGATTATATATTGAACCGGATTCAGTTTGAATTCGAATACCTCACCAAAGTATTAGCTAAACCATAGCACTCCCACCCAACATCAGTTTGCTCAAGAATTCTTCTTCCCGATTCGGTAATACTGCAAAATAGATTTGATCAACATGGGTAAGCTAGTTTTTCGTCGCGATTGAAGACCGGATTTTAGCACCTACTGTCATTTCCGATTGCTTTTCGTCAGTCTTTTACAGCACATATCCAAATGCACTTTCCTTGGTCCTCAAAACGCTTTCAAACCAATATTGGTAGCTATGGTAGCGTAGATGGTCGTTGGTTTGTTCGCTGAGCTGGGCAATTTGATTACAAATATCTCATCATCACTCGAGGTGACATCATCAGCGCGTTGTTAGGGCGCGTAGTGGTGCGTGGCGATGGGTTAGTGGTTGTTCGTTGGGCAATGTTGCGTGTGTTAATATTACGTGGTGCTAGCCGGGGGTGACCTTTGATCGCGATTAGTTGTTTGGTTTGGCCGTTCCATTGGTCGCTCTGTTATCCTGTGTCATTCGCCGATGCCCACGTGACCTTTTAGCTTGGCATGCCTTGCCGTCGTGCTCTGGTTGATGCTGGAGTGACCTTTGTCCTTGACTCTTTCGAGTTCCGGCTTGTGACCTTCATTGATCTGATTCCCAAGCGTTCCTTGTTTCTTAGTTTGTGAATCCAATATTCGCTTCTCCTTGATTATTCCGGTTGATATGTTGGTCCTTCGCACGTAGTGGCGCGTAAATTGGATCCAGATCTATACATCGGTTGATCGAGTCCGCCGTGGTCTACCACTCTTCCGGAAATTCCCTTCCGCGTCTAGTCTCTCCGTGTGCATTTCCCAAATTGAATTTGTGGCCTTCTTGGTCCTCGTGTATGGATATCAAGCACAGGGAGTCATACCTCCTGACGGCCGCGTTGTGTTCCTTCATTCGTGTGCATAGTCTCCTCCCAGTTTGTCCCACGTAGAATTTGTTGCAGTTGTTGCAGTTGAGTTGGTATATCACATTGCTCCTCTTGGTTTTGTTCGAGTTGTCCTTCGGTTTAGAGATTAATTTCCTCAGGGTAGCATTAGGTTTGTGGGCCACGAAGATTCCTTTTTGAGCCAATAATCTGGTCGCGAGTTCTGATATATTCTTGATGTAAGGCAGGACTACCCGTCTGGTGGCTTGCTGTTGCTGTTGCCGTTTTTGTGATGTCTTCATCTTCAAACATATCCAAATGCACTTTCCTTGGTCCTCAAAACGCTTTCAAACCAATATTGGTAGCTATGGTAGCGTAGATGGTCGTTGGTTTGTTCGCTGAGCTGGGCAATTTGATTACAAATATCTCATCATCACTCGAGGTGACATCATCAGCGCGTTGTTAGGGCGCGTAGTGGTGCGTGGCGATGGGTTAGTGGTTGTTCGTTGGGCAATGTTGCGTGTGTTAATATTACGTGGTGCTAGCCGGGGGTGACCTTTGATCGCGATTAGTTGTTTGGTTTGGCCGTTCCATTGGTCGCTCTGTTATCCTGTGTCATTCGCCGATGCCCACGTGACCTTTTAGCTTGGCATGCCTTGCCGTCGTGCTCTGGTTGATGCTGGAGTGACCTTTGTCCTTGACTCTTTCGAGTTCCGGCTTGTGACCTTCATTGATCTGATTCCCAAGCGTTCCTTGTTTCTTAGTTTGTGAATCCAATATTCGCTTCTCCTTGATTATTCCGGTTGATATGTTGGTCCTTCGCACGTAGTGGCGCGTAAATTGGATCCAGATCTATACATCGGTTGATCGAGTCCGCCGTGGTCTACCACTCTTCCGGAAATTCCCTTCCGCGTCTAGTCTCTCCGTGTGCATTTCCCAAATTGAATTTGTGGCCTTCTTGGTCCTCGTGCATGGATATCAAGGATAGAGGTTAAGAGCCGGAACTCGGAAGGGTCAAGAACAGAGGTCACTCCAGCATCGACCAGAGTACGACGAACCAGGACACAGGATAACTAATTAGCCACTACAACCGTCCGACCAAACAGCCAACCGTGATCGAAGGTCAGCACCGATTAGTAGCACGTATATTAACACGGATGCAACACTACTCAACGCACAACAACCAACCCGTCGCTACGCATCACCACGCCCCCCAATTACGCACTGATAATGTCACCTCGATTGATGATTGCAATCGAATTGCCCAGCTCAGCGAACAAGCCATCAACTAGCGAATGTACACTCATTAGCAAACTAATTTAATTTTTTTTGAGAGACTCACCTGGAACCCAGCTGAATCTCTCGTTTGTGATGTTTTCAGACGGATTTTCAGCAACCTTATGAGTAGTACATTACAAACCAACAACCACTTTCAAACCAAAATACACATGCTAATGTTGAAATGCACACTGGTCTTGGCAAACTGGTTCTGTGTGGATGGGATGCCCTTATCACCGCCAAAAGACGTATTCAACTTGCACTGAGGTCCTGGTGTTTTCCTCTGATAGCAAAGTTAGGACGTATTGAACCACAGATACATTAGCCCCATGATTTCAGATGCTATTTTCACCTCACCTATTGGAATTTAGAAAATGGAAAATGATGCGTTAGAGAACTTCATGAATCTTTGTTCCATTGAGGCAACGTTACTAGCAACCCAGATCGACATATGATACGCCCACGTCACCGTAGCTTATTGTCTGACAGTCGCTTTCCGAATCCCGAATGATCCCGTTCGGTTATCTCGCAGTTCGATCAGTGTTTTGTCGTCAATGAAAGGAATACAGACGAGCTGTCGCTATTGTCAAACGACTCTGAATAAACGCAGCCTATTCAGAACCAGTCTTCAGTAGCTGGTGCTACATGTGGTTCGTGGGAAAATACATGCTGCTGCAAAAAAAGAGTTTGTTTCACACAGCTTTCCGCTCTCTATAGATGGTTCCTACTGTTTCGGTAGAGCTTTTCCAACTTTTGGAAGGCTTCAGCATGAATGCATTTGCTCGGAGAACTAGAGGAAGAATATGATGACTGGTAAACTATAGGCTGGTCAGTATCCATGCGTACATTGCTTAGTATTCCTTTGGCCTTGTGTTTTTTCGCTGAGCTGGGCAATTTGCCGAGGTGACATCGATGCGCTGTGACTGGAAATATGTGGTTGTGGCATATGCATGGATGTGAGATTTACTCACCCAGTTCGATCTTGATCGACCACTGACCTAGCGACCCATTGGTTGACCTGTCTGGTTTCCGAGTCGCCTTGATACTTGATCCCTCCAGCTCCCTAGCCGTGACCTCTGTTCATTTACCCCTACGGTGAATCCGGTTTCTTGGTCCGTCGGTCTGATAGCCGATACTGACTCAGTGTCACCACGCTGAGTTGATGGTCCTTCGCTCGTAGCAGTGCGTACGCAGAGTTGATTTCGATATGCAAGTTGCTAGAATCGACTGTGGATTGCGATACTCCTAGGAATTCCTTCCCTTGTTTTGTATTGCCGCGTAATCTGATCTTCATGTTTTTTTAAACTAAACTTCTATGCTTCCTAGGACGTGTCTTTCTTCTATCTTTTGCTCCTTGAAGCGCATCAAGCCACTTTTGATGTTTGTTGAAGTCAGTTCTACTGGCACGTGTTTCGCCTAGTTGCAGTAGGTCAGTCACAGAAAACGAATTGGATTCATTGTATTGGACAAAATGCCTCACGACGCGCCCAAACTTATGTCCAGCAATGGACCATCATAGATTTCATTTTGTCGACGGTTCTACTACCTCAAGATGTGATGTTCACATTAAAATGGAAGTTTTCTCGAAAGGAACAGGTTATTGCTTGGTACGGTATGACATTCTACTCTGCAGTGCTCGTATGTTTCAGGAGTTTTCTCGAAAGGAACAGGTTATTGCTTGATACGGTATGACATTCTAGTCTGCGGTGCTCGTATGTTTCAGGTCCGTGGAATGAGTCAACGGCTTACTACCGTATTGGAAACAAAATGTTTACATGAGAATGACCATACGATCCTGAAATGTACATGTTCTAAAAGAAATCCCATATACGGTCTCAGGCTACACGATAGCAGCCGATTGAACATACAGTTATTCCGAAAACCACCGATACCCTCCAGTATTTCGCCTAGAAAAAAAAAACGAACGTCTAGGGTAACTGAGCATCAATTCTTCTAGAACTAATTTGAATGATGTTTAGTTGCTACTCTTGAGGCTGCCTTGATCTATCAGTGCGGGTGCGTTGTTTCAGACATCTTGAAGGAAATGGTACACGGGACTCAATTCACCAATTCACCTCTCCTGCCGGTTCACCCATTTTAAAGTGTCTGTTTTCGATGCATGTGCATTTCGAGCCCGGTGTGGTAGAACCCCTCTACTTCTGAAACCAGACGCCATTCACTGGACATGTTTTGGTTCTCTAGAATTACTTGGTGTTATAGCAGGCGCTTGTATTCTAAAGGCGCTGTCAACTCGACACTAGCAACAGAACTACTGGTCTTATTATCCAAAAGGAAGTTTTGCTGAAACAGAAAATTTCACCTTATATAAAACGTATGAGGACATGTTTTGACATGGTTTACGTCGGGTACGAAACCTAGTTGTGCTAACCATGTTATTCGTGGGTTAACCAGGTAGAAAGTGCACCTCTGTAATCTGCGAACCGACAATACACCAACGTCCCAGATTGTCCCATCACAGATGCTACGACTGATACGGATTAACAAATCTTCAAACTCAAAGTTTCTGCTTGACAAAAAGTGTATTCCGCTTTGCACCACCTTTTTGGAATGTTTTTGGCACGTTTCTTCCAAATTTCTAAACGGCTTTGTGCGAAACCTCGTACAAAGTAATTGTTCGTAGGAACTGATTGTCTCGCTTTTCTAATCTGCCAGTGAATCGGTATTTCTCCAGAAGTACCTTTTCATTACTGACCGCCTCTCATTAACAACTGTGGTGAACTGCCGGACCGTCTGATTGCCGTCGTAACCGCGCTACCCACACAGCATCGCTGTCTGAACTAGGCCACCCAGTGCTCATCTCAGGCGCTCGAAGCTGTCTATACGGTCTCTGATTCTTCGCTGAAGATACGACTGCACGAAACGCGTTTTGCGACAATCACGGTTAGTTCGATCGTCACTTGGGTCTCGTCATCCGCCTAACCCGCAGTGTGAGCATTGCTCAAGTTTCCCAATTGGGTTTATAGGTGTCATGCCGCCTGAGAACAATCGCCGTATCTCGACAGAATTCCAACAAGCCTTGTCACGGTGCGCTTTGATGCAGCTAGCTGACCTCATTCATGGGCTGGTTTACAGTTTGGGCGCATCGCCACTTTTCCGTGTTCCAGATGAAGGTGTTTGTCACCGAGTTGTCTATTACCATTTAGTTTCTTCCGAAACGGGCACAGTGCGGCGTCTGAGTTGCGCGCACCGATGAACTTTTTTTCCAAAAAATAGGTGATTTTTTGGACCAACCGTACTATGATCACCGAGGGGTTAGTTGTTTGTCCCTTGGTGCCCACTGGTGTCTGCAGTCTACCATCAATCGGCTTTCAGTTTGTCAACCAACCAGTGTAGATAAGACCCAAGGAATTTTCTGCTTCAAAACACAGGCAGACCGAGTTTAGATTAGTTTTAACTCAGCAACGCCATGATCTTAGATCGAAAGTCCCCAAATCACAGTCCACTCAGTTGCTTTACTCAGACTTCTACAACTACGATGCCCCAGAAACCAAACTGTTTTGTCTTCCGGAAACATGCAACCCGTGAAATAAACATAATCGATCTTCAAGTTAGGACCATCTTAAGGGACAAGAGCAACATGCTAGGTTAAAAAAGGGCCTCTGTGAGCGATTTCGAAAACCACCGACCCTGTTGCCTTTATTGGTGTTTGGTTCAATGACCATACGAAGACCAACCGACTGGACGCAGTTCGCGTGTGTATTGAGTGCTTCCTCTCACAAGGCACTTATACTGAGTGCGCATCGTCTGACATGCCTGCTCTCTGTTCACTATAACAAATTACCCCCCCTCTCCACGTCTTAAGTGTCTTTTTTATTCAGAAATGGACCTGTCAGGATCACGACGCGGTCTCGTTAGAGTGGTAAGGGGCCAATTCGAATTTGGTGCAAGACAGAAAATAATTCAGCCATGCAGCCTCCGCGGCTCATGAGATCGATTGAGCGACAATGTCACGTGCTTGTCACGTGCTCGATCTATCAGACTGCTCAAAGTATTGTTAACCATCTTGCTTGAAACCGGAAGCTTGATGAGTGCGTCGTAACCGCTGATTTCTGTCCTTGAGGTAGTTGTCGAGGGTCACCTTATGTCAGTGCTAACATCCGTCCATAGCGTGCATAAAACGGCAGTCAAAAACAGGTACCAAAAGTTCCTTGACAAGCTGTCAAAATACAAATTCCCTCAAAATCAACTGATGGGAAAATTATGTGAGCACTGTAGCATTAATTCATTAGCATTCTGAGGAAAACACCTAAAAACTGGAGGCTTCTGCATTGGGGTACTTCATCACCACCTGCCAGGAAAAAGTTCCTAACGAAGTTGGTTCTAATTCTCGTCAGTCACTTATTTCGTCACAGTCCAGTGGCCCAGATCTGATAACTTTGTGTCGCCGTTTTACGAGATCCAAACAAAAACCACCTACTCTCTGAGCTTACGGACCAACACAGACGCGCGTTTGTGCACGTCGATACTTCTAGTGTGTGCAAATTTACATGTGGAATTTGTCGGGACCAATGGAAATTGATTGCTCCGCAGTGGTGGACAGAATACAGAGTTTTTATCCAGCAATTTTGGGTGTACTTCTCATGTGACTGGCGACCGAGAAACTCTGACGGATCTCTATATGAGCACCAAAGTACTGATCGACGGAGCTTTCGATAACTGTCACAAACTAGGTTGAAAATGAAAAACTATAAATCCTTTAAAAAAAGCCGCGAATCCAACCAGTTTACCTTTAACCAGCAATTTTTGCTCCCCGTTTTTTAGGATTAAATACTATGTTATGTAGGGGAGAAAAATAACTAAATGACTAATTGATTTCATTAGGAAGAAAGCGGCACTAATTCATATTGTTATTTCCAACAAGCCGATGTTAAGTAGACTTGAACGCATTGATAATAAATTAGACCACTTCATCAGAAATTCGACTGTTTCATCTGTTTTTGTTCGTTCGTAAAAACCAATGCAAAATTTATGAACTTCAGTAAGTTATCTTTCATTTCCTGTCTCCGGTGTTCTACCCAGGCTCAACCTTGTGGCAGACAAGATTTAGTAAAATTGCATGAGACTGCGCTCCTTAATTTCACCATCTTAGAATAATTATTTGGACGTGAGCAAATCCCTCCAAAGTAAGTCAATAATGCTTGTAAGATCGAGTAAACGGCTGTCCGTACTGCTCACTGGTTACGAACGATGGAACGGATGGAACGTTGCTCGACAGAACACTTGTAGACAAATGGCTCAATGGATGATAGCGTTTCATTCAGTCACAAATGACGGTTTCAGCTGCGATTCAGTCGAATTTTGTACTACAGCCAACAATTTGCAAATGAATAAATGTTGTATACAAAAACTGAACGGAGTAGACTAAAGTGATGAAAGCTGACGTTGGAAATGATTCCGGCGGATGGAAGACGATAAAAGCGTGATTTCTCCTAACCGAAACACACTCGAAATTTGCTCCGGAATCCGATGGCTTGCTATACACATTTCACTCTTTTATCGTTCGTCATGTGTTGAAAAGGAGCAATAGATCGGTGCCGTCAGTGGAAATTGTTTTACTACACTTGGTGTAGTTCAATGATTCCTGTGCATCACCGACTTGGAATCGTTGCAGGACAACCCCCTGACCACATCCACTCTATTATCGTGGTGCGGACCGTCTGGCCCAGGTTGTTTTGTTGTAAAGTGCCCACATCTCTCGTTTTTTGCAACTATTCAGATTACATCAAAGTCAACAAGTCAAGCTTCTATTTGGAATAACTTCCGGAAGAATTCAAAAGTGATTTCCCCTTATATTGATCCTGCTATCTCTTGTTCTCTCACGTGACCCCTTTTCAGCTGGTCGTACTTGCACACGTTCGTCTCTTCAGTTTTCTACTCCTGCATATGCTCACTGTGAACTTATGCATCTGGGTGGAATCGGCCATAGAGAAGGTCTCCCAAACAATGAATGTAGAGCAACACGGCGAGTCGCATCAAAACACCGGCAATGATCACCATTACACAACTATGGTGACCTCATACTTCCTGCCAGCCATTCCTGAGTATTGTGCGATCGCGGTGGCCGTCGTGTATGAAATGTCACAGCGGATCGGACAGTTGAAACAGATCGAGGCGGAACAACATGTGAGTTGTAAGAATCGGTAGATCAATTAGACTACCTACATAAATCTGTGAACGCACAGTTATATGGTAGACTTACACTTACATGATAAGAATGATGACAGTTTTTAGCGATTCAATTGATGTTCGATCAAGTTAGAGTCTTTAAGGAGGTCTCTTGGAGATAGCTTAGTGGTTAAGGTGCAAACTTATCCAGAGGAACGCCCATGATTCGAACCCGATCTCGGCATCTGGAGTGCTTCTGTCTGGGCTTCAACGAACTGGTGGTATCTCAGCTCTCGTGTTTCCCCCGGGTAGCATGATGGCTAGGCACCGAAAAGGCGTTACGGCTGAGCGATTTATTTTCTGCTTGCGGTTTGGGTACTGTCCTATTGCCCCATGGTAACTGTACATGTGACACTGCTACGTTTTGATCAGAAAAAATGGGCTTGGTCAAAAAATTGGATGACTGATATTGAAGCACTGGTAAAGCCAATGATCAAAACTGCTTAGTTTGCCCCTATGTCGTCTATGTATAGAGTGAACGTCGTACGTGAAGCTCCTTTTTTACTTACTGTAGTAATCGTACGCTCTTTCGCCTTTTTCTTCGAAGCGCCATATCAGGAGGGCGACCTGAAGTCTAATATAAGTAGTCTAAACGAAGTTTCGTACGCGGCTCATTCAAAATCTGGTTCACGATTCTTTCGGCTGTCTCGTTCGATGACACAGCCATCGCTCATATGGGAACTTCTGACAGTTGGAATGGACTGTAGGCATACTTGCCCTGTTTGACCTGAGTTTGAGCACAATTTTGTCGAGCAAAATAAATCCGAGGAGCCGTTTTTAGCAGTAAAATAGATACAGTTGTATCAGGGACTGAGTACTTCCATGAAGGATCGACCAGTGCGAAAATTTCTAGCCATACACATCAGTTCTTACATGATTTCGCGCGTTCTGTCTGAGTAATGTACCTGTATCGTCGAAATGGGTTTGATTTTCACTCAAAAAAACCGCATGATAGGTTAGAATTGTTCACAAGTTGTCTCCATATTATTTATATGTTTTTTGTTCTTTGAATCAAGCCGCAATGTTAGTGAAAACGCCTTGGCTAAAGTACAATTTCATTCACTGGTCTTTCTGTTAATCATAAGGTAAAATTTAACCCACTGGTTTAACCCTTAAATATTACTCAGCTTTAAGGACCTGTGTGTCCATTTCCATTTTTCAAAATATTCCCTTTTATTGGGACTTTTAGCCTCGCAGCTTATTTTTTTATCCTACAAACATCCGTTGGCATTCAGCATCGTTTTCATTGCCTGTCAGGATTGTTCAGGATCTGAACTAATCCTGTCGAACAAAGCTTCGATTTCCACGGGGTATTTCCCAAGTTTTTCCCCTTACTTATCTGCTGATCTCCCGCTTTGTTCAGCATTCACTCCTTTCTGATCATGACTGTTAGCGTTACTGATATTTTGGTCAGACAATGCTTCGGATGAGAGCAATGTGACCATGTAACTATTTCCCTCAGTGTTATATACTACTGTCTTGTGTAGACTGTCTCGCTGTCTAGCATGTCCAAAGTAAATCTTTCCTGGGCAGTATGGAATCGTTAAAAATGATAACACTGACGTAATGACCAACTGAGCGTCACTCAAATGACCGATAAAATGTTGTGGCACCAACTTTAACATACAGCAAAGACACAGTCAAATCGAATTTGACGTTTCGATTCCCGGTCCGAGATACTGTGTACGTTTTATGTGTATTGGTGAAAAATCTGGGTAAAAACGTAGCGTACAAAATTTCGGTGCATGTAACTGTCGTGAGAGCGTAAATGTCACGCATTTATATGAAAATAACCGGTGGTCACGTGTATTGCACTTAAAATGCGAATGGATAAACTGGGCGAACGGAACCGATGAGATCAACGAGGCCACTCGGTGGAACAGTTCAAATCGTTTTTCTCTTTGGCAGCTTAGTATGAATGAATGTGGGATAGCACAAGCTTAGAAACCCTTGTTAGCGTTTCCTAAAAAGGTTCTAGGTTGCGGAATCAGCAATAGAACACTTTTCGTGATCGCTTCTCAGTTGCCCGGTAAATGATCTTTTTCTGTATGTATGCCGCAATAGTTTCCCGTTTACCGACCGCCTCGTCCAACGATTAACGTACGCCCCTCGACACGGGCATGCGTACGAATACACGCCGAAAAACTCCAGCCATGAAGAGCGAAAGTTCTGTGTGCATAAACGGTTGAAAGAGCAGCGGCTGACTTGATTGAATATGCCATTAATACATACGGTTTTTTGGATGAAATATGTTGAGTGGTTTTCATAAGTCCGCTCTAAGATTACTTAGTTTCATAAATGAAACTCCGAAGTAAAGGCATTTTTTTTATCAAGATGTAACAATTTACCGTCCAGAATCAGATGATCGGGCAACATCCGCTCAGGGTGTGCCCAAACATCCCTTTTTCAACAGGAAACTGTAAGTTAGTTTCTCAAAGAGATCAAAGGCAAAAGGGCCATCGATCGTAGCTTCTAACCACTCCTAACTCAAGCTGAGTGAGACGCTCAACTGACGACGATCTAAGTTCATTGTGCTTAATGGCTAGCTGTTTCACCATTTGAAGGTTGGATGTATTTTTTGGGAAACATTCAAAACATACGGGTTTTTTTCGTGGACCGGATAATCACGAACCGCACTTGAACTCTTCCACAAGATGCTCCCCCATGACCACCACATTTCCGCAACGATCAATTTTGGACGGGTCTGTCAATTTCCAGTTGGACCCCTTGTAGTAGTAGTTATCACATTTTTGGCGGAGCAGATTTGGAAAAAGGTTATCTGAATCGAAATTTAAACTTTATCATAGAACAAAAAAACGAAGGTTCACTTAAATCGCGGGCAAATGTGGGATGACCTATTTCTGTCACTCATCGTGGTGACGGTTATCTAATCTTCAAAACGCCATTGAAATCACTGGTGTATCTTGATACCCCCTCTGTCTCGTCTTGTTCGGAACTTTCAGATATTCAGCACATAACCCAGACAGTTAGTCCCCGCAATTATAGTTTATTTTTGGTCTGTTTGCACAACCCATTAAATATGATTTTGCCTGCTGAGAGGGAGCGAAACGCCGAGAAAACCGCCCCAAACTAAGTGAAACAACCGTTGTTGTTGTTTTTATCGATAGCGTTTTTGAATGTCTGTCACTAAGTTGTGCAGGCTTTTTGCTGTCAAATTACACCAAAAACTCAAGATCCATGCCCGAAATCCATTCACGATATAAATGAACCTGTTTCAGTTGCATACAGACTATGCCATTGACCTCAGTGACCTAATATATTTAGAGTGCGTCCAGAAAAACCTGATGATCAAACAGTAGGGGGGGAAATAAGATCAATTTTTCCACTCGCTGCCCACAGATGAGCAAACAGATTTGATCACCAAGTGCTCTGATGTAGGTATCGATCCATCCTCATGGCCAAAGTGATTTCGGCCACGGTAATGTGGAGTGTGCTCCATGTAGATTCAAGGCAACCAGGGACCTTACATTTTTACACTTCAAAGCGAAGGTCGGCAGGGCCTTTTGCCGCATGTCTGACTTGTAGAAACGAATTAGGTGGCATGAGTTGCTGAAAATCCTTCGACAGCCAATGACCGGTTTTGCCCTTCTTAGGGCTTGGTGCAGCACATTCAGTTTCTTAGAAACACCATAAACGCGAGATTCAGCTGAGTTCCAGGTGAACCTCTTACAAAACCAAATTTGCTTGCAAATGAGTGCGTTTCGCTAATTGAGGGGCATGTTTTACGGTCGGAAAAAATCGCGCAATCGTACAAAGTCTAGGACAGTCTTACCCAGAACGATTGGTCAGTGGGTAATTCACCTAAACCTCTGAAGAAATAAATTTCGTTGTAAGATATCCATCACTTAGTCTGGAATTTCTGTAGACAAAGAAATACTTTCTCTCTCCACAAACGATAAAAGGCCTGACTCAAATGAGCTATCATGTTGCCAATATCAAACGCATTCCTACGCGCATGAAACTTAGGGTTAATCACGGCCGACGACATCCCATTTATGTTCGTTAAGAACCACTGCTTGGAAATGTGAATATCCCGCATGTCGACTGCAGCTCTGCGAGACTTGTCGACACGATGAACAAAGTTATTCGAATAGTGTGTTTCAATCTCGCAGCACAAAAAATGCACTTTTAGAAGCTCTTTCAAAACAGAAATCAGAAATGGAGGGCGAATAGTTGCCCTGAATGATAAGTTAAAAATTCAGATTTACTGACTTGAACGAGCGCAAATGAAATCAAAAGAAACTGATATCCTTAGTGGTGTGAAATGATTACACAGAAGTCAGCAATAAGCAATAAGCAAGTTGATAAACTTCACTCATTCGCACATACTAGCTCTTGGTGCAATCGTTTATAAACCCGCAGCAGTCAGGGTCTCGATGCAATCCCCTGGCTCTCTTAATGAATCATTGCTTCAGACGATGGAGTGGGTAGCCGGTTCTATGCATATGTCCGCTCATTCTTGTTCAGGAATTAAAACTGATTTACCCAGTGGTCGCGTATGTTCATGAGCCATTTAACATGTTTCCTCTCCGAGGTTCATCCTCCTACGTTTCGAGAATCTGTTTCCTCCTGGTCTGCTTGGCCACCATTTTGAAGTACCGGTCTGATAGCTGTTGAGCCCAGGCTTACTCTCGTGTTTTGTCACACAATAACACCGCTGAATTACTCTACTGGATCATCTCCAGACATTACGCAATTAATGATAATCGACGTGAATCTACTTCCTTTTCCGTTGTCTTAATTTATGTGAAAACAAACTGGTCACACACCTACTCTGACAGTTGTGACACAAAGGATTCAATCTTAAACGAACGAGACCATGCACTGCTTGGCTCTAAATACGTACCAACTTTGTCATCTGAATAAGCTAAGTTGATATATGTTCGACCTCACACCCTTATTAAATTAACTCCACGCAATAGCGATTGTCGAGACAG